TGCGGGAAAGAAACATGGCCACTGAGATTGACCAGTGTATTGTCACCGGCCGCAAATGAAGTTGTGGCTAGATTAAGCGAAGAAGATGCGAAGGATTATGATAAAGTTAGAGCCAGTTTATTAAAAAAATATCAGTTAACTTCTGAGGTCTTTAGGGCCAAATTTAGATATAGTAAAAAGAAATTTGATCAGAGTTATGCTGAATTTGCTTATCAATTGAAGAATAATTTTAAAGAATGGATTAAATGCGAAGGGATATGCAGTGATATAAATAAATTAATACAATTAATATGTTTAGAAAAGTTTTACAGTTCAATACCATCTGAAATGAGATTTTGGGTTGAAGATCACAATAAAACAAAATCAATTGAAGAAGCAGCGGAACAAGCAGATGTTTACATTTCGAAGAGGGGTCCTATTAATGATAGAAATGGATATAATAAATTTAAGCAGGAACATAAAACATCAACACAAAGGGAAACGAATCAGAATAATCCTTCCAATATGGAAACAGAAAGCGAAAGGAAAGGAGATAAGAGAAGTTTTGATAAACGAAGACCATTTAAATGTTATGCTTGCGGAGGAATAGGTCATTTTAAAGGATCAAAAGAATGTCCTAATTTCAAAGAAAGCAAAGAAAATAAGCAAGTAGTAGCTACCTTAAATACTAAGAAAGAAGTTGAAGAATTATTTGCTCCATATACTTTAAAAGGGGAAATAAATGGTAAGGAAGTAAACATTTTGAGAGACAGTGCTGCGAGTTATGATGTAGTACATAAAAACATTGTCAAAACAGAACATTATTCTGGGAAATATGTACATGTTAGAGGAGTACTGAATGAAGAAAGTGTGGCTTTACCAGTGGCTGTAGTAAAATTAAATTTACCAGAAATAGGAGAACTTGAAACAGAAGCTGCAGTTACAAGTAATTTGCCAAACGGATACTCGTATCTATTGTCAAATAGAACGTGGGAAATGTTCAGTAATGTGAACAATGTACAAAATGTATTTGCATTAACCCGATCAAAATCAAAAAAATTAAAATTAGAACAACAAAGTATTCCAGTAGAACAAAATACGAAAAATGAAAAGCATACAGAATTAATACAACATTTAAAATAAAGTAAATGAAAAAGATAAACAAAAGAAGGAAGAACGTATTTTAGAAGAAATGTTGATAATTCCTAAAGGAAAAACTATAACAAAGTTAAATCCTAATAAACTGAGGTTATTGCAAGGAGGAGACCCTACGTTGAAAGAATACTATGATAAAGCAGAGATTAAAGAGGACAAAAATGGTGTTAAATTTAAAATCTTAAATGGAATATTGCACCGAAGATTTGTAGACAAATTAGGAAGACACTATGAACAAGTAGTGGTACCAACAAGTCTACGAGGCAAGATAATGGATATTGCGCATGATAATATGTGGACGGGCCATTTAAGATGTAAGAAGACGGTTGCAAGAATAAAACAAAACCATTGGTAGAGTCAACCAAATAAAGATGTCAAGAATAAAATAAAATATTGTAACGTATGTATATGCGCCTATGTGCCGAGTTCCAATTATAACAAAACCGTACAAGAAAGTAAATGTAGATATTGTTGGACCTTTGACTAAAACGGAAAAGGGGAATATGTACACACTTACCTTGATTTGCAGTAAATTTCCGGATGCAATACCATTACAAGTAGCTGACTCAGAATCAGAGGTAAAAGGATTATTGAGCATATTTTCTAGAGTTGGTTTCCCTTCGGAGATACAGACAGATTTGGGGAGAGTGTTTGTTAGCAACTACGGAATTTTTGGAACAAAGTGGTATTAAAATAATCCACAGCTCTGCATACCATCCTCAGTCAAATGCAGTAGAGAGATTTCATGGAGTGTTTAAAAGAAGACTCAGAGCTTTGAGTTATGAACATGGAAAAGAGTGGGACAAGTACATTGATCAAGCATTATTTGCCGTAAGAAGTGCGCCACATGCGGCACATGGGGAATAAGGGAATAATTTTGATTGTTCAGAAATTGATTGACTGACATTTTTAAACTTCTGCAACTCTTTCCTTATTTTACTCCTTACTTCTTTATTATACATTGAGGCTTTAAACCCCTTTATTCGACAAATATTATGTCTGTAAAGGCCCATCAATTCTCACATTTAATGTCACTGGAAGAGATTGTCGCAAAACATCTCCTAGTCAATCCCGTCTCTCGCCTTTTCGTGGTGAACGCTACTTCCAAGGCAACCCATTGCTTCCGTCTACCAAAAGGTAGCACAACTCCCTATCATAATTAAACACAACTCCTGCGACCAACCAGTTCCAATTATCCATATCGCTGTCATCCATAGTCCTATTCTACTCTCCTTTACCTTCCCTCTTTCTCTCTTCCTCCTGACCTCCTCTCTCCCCTCCACTCTTCCATTCGGACACACACTTATCCCGTTCGTTTCCTTCAGTCGACACCCTCTCAAATACACTGAGTGGACATGTTCTGTCAACAGCTGAATGACCTTACTGCACATGGCCGCCCCATACATCCATCTGTCCTTCATAAACCTATACATGCCTCTACCCTTATCCGATTCCATTCATCTCCTCTTCATTCCTCTCAACAAGTAACATCTTGATTCTTCCACTCACAGCCCACTCTTTACTTACAATCACAGCAATCCATCCCAGCATCTCTGGTTTCTTCCCTCTCACGTACCTTACATACGAGAGGTCCTCGAAATGTAAGGCCGAATCTAACACTACTCCCAAATACTTCAATGCGCATTTTGACCATTACACCCTCCATATCCATTTTTTCTGTATCTTCTAAACCGAAACGTCCCAGATAAATATGATCTGGTCATCGGTATACGCCTTTACCAAGTCAACCCCGTCGTCCAGTATATTCATTACTCTCGCAAACCACTCATTCATTGCATTCAACCACAGTACCTCTCTTTCCATATATGTCAGCAACCAGTCTGTCTATAAACCTTCCTTCATCATAAGCCAGGCATATTGGTCTGACACCGCTGCAATGTCAGCAACCATACTGAACCAGTACAGAAACCTTCCTTCCCTCAGGCATCTGTCAATCAATGAAACTAAATCTATCAATCACCCCCCACTCATTCCTAAATACCTTCTATATGTGGGGTTGGACTGGACGCTAATTACCTCCATCCGGAAAAAGAACAGCAATTACGAAACCAGCAAATATGCCTGCAATGAAATTGATAAGTACAGACTGAATGACACGGCTCTGCAAGAAATAAGGCGGCAAGATCTCTTATAAAAGGGCAGCCTATAATATACTATAGTGGTGGAAGTGCTAATAGATATGAGTTTGGTTATGGATTTCTTGCAAAGAGGAACATAAAACAACGAGTGACGAGATAGGCTATGTTATATCCGAATCAAAATGAGTTTGCAAAATCTATAAATCTTCTCGATACATGCATCCACTGAGGAGAAATCCGAGGATGAAAAAGAGCAGTTCTATGAGCTGCTAGGAAAGAAATTAAATAAAGTTCAAGCTAATCAGATAAACTGATAATCCGAAATCTATGTTGTAAATCTATAATCAGAAAGGTGTTCTTCTTCTTCAAACATCACCATGTAGAAATTGGCGATTACCGATGACAAAAGTGATCCCATTGCTGTCCCTTTGCATTGCTCATAGAATTCTCCCTTCACGCTAAAATATGTTGATGATGAACAGTGCTCGAACACTAGCCATAGAATATACTTCTGTAAACCCTACCGAATAAATTTTTGGCGATACTTCTAATTGACTCCACAAAATGCGTAGTATCTCTGACAGGTGATTTTGTTTTACTTATAAAAGGAGACAGAATCTTGGGAAGGAGCTTCGCCAACTGGTACGTTGGAGAATTTATGGCACTGACAATATCTGGTTTATAAATTTTAGTAATCCATAAATTTTTGGTGCTACTGGGTCCTGCTGGTTTTATTTCATCTTTACTTTTAAGAATTTATATATTTATGGATTTTAGATTTAATTAATTGACAAGAAAATCAACTATACCTAAAAAGAATAATTTCGATTGTTCAAAAATTTTGATTGACATCGACGTTTTTAAACTTCTCAAACTTTTTCTCGTTGATTTACTTTCATCTCTTTAATAATAAAAAGATAATATACTATGGCTTTAAACCACATAATAACCTGTTTTAATTCATTCGACAAAGATCAAGACGGTGGAATAAATCTTGAGGAATTTCGTTTAATATGTCAAGGATTGTTTAGGAACGATAGAGGAATATTTTACACCGTAGCTCCAGAAAAATTAAAAATAATGCTTGGAATATTCGACAAGAACTTAACAGGCGCCCTAGAATTTGAAGAATTTATGTTTTGCTGGTACAATTGGTTTAAATACATCATTCATCCTCGATCCGTTTGCATCGTTGTTAATATGCAAAACGATTATTTAAATGGAGTTATGGCATTGGCGGCAACTGGTTTTGCTGAAGCTGCAGCTGCTGCAGCTGCTGCAAATCCTGGCCAAGGTGAAACCGAAGAAGTAGTGAAACAAGATCAAAAACCGGTTAATATAATTGATACCATTAATCAAATTATAGGTTGTGACTTTGAACATATATATTACGTGATGGATCATCATCCTTCAAATCATATATCTTTTATCGACAATTTAAGTCTTAGGCCTTTACATCCGGCGAGCAAAGTTTCAGAAGAAGATGCAAAATTATACGACACCGTGGTATTTGCACTTCCAGCTCCTTACACACAAAAATTATGGCCGAAACACTGTGTAGAAAACTCATGGGGTTCCGAATTAGATATGGATTTACGAATATCTTCCAAGGGTACGAGAATTTATACCGGAACAAATGCGGAACTTGATCAACATTCCGCATTTCGAGATAGCACCATGCCAGTTGACGGAAGCTTTCATCAGGAATTGTCCGGCAGAAACATAACAGATGTTTACGTTGTTGGAGCCTCTTTAGACATGTGTGTACGGGCAACTTGTTTGGACTCGCTGTCTTTGGGTTATCGAACCGTTATGGTTGAGGATTGTTGCAAAGTTATGAACCCGTTAGCTGTTGAAAAAGCAAAACAAGATGTCATTAATAAAAATGGTGTAATTGCTCAATCGGCGGATGTAAAAAATATGACAGAAGGGAAGGATAGACGCCCTGAAATGGGTTATGTCCTCGCTATTAGATTAAGAGATTATTTTAAAAATAGAGAAACTAAAACTGAACCTGCTTAATTATTTTAATAAAATAACTACTATTATCTTATATGTTTTCTTTCTAGGAATAAGTATGTTAGAGAAATAAAAAAAATATTGATTTTGAATTTTTATTAGATATCTATTTATATGACAATTATTAGGTGACGATGCATATCCCTGTTTGAAATAAAGGGATAATGGAGAATGGGATTTTGCGCATGTCATACACACTTCTGCGTATCTACAGAATATTTCGGTATCTCTGGCACTTCTTGCATTCGATATCCGTCTGCTTCTTCACATGACCTTTATTTTCACCTTGAAGTTTTGGATGTAATTTATTTATTACGTAAAAATTTAGTTATTTTCCATGGTCAGCGTAAATATCGGGAACATGGTATCCATATCTTCATAGCCAACATTTCCAGATGGTTCCAGATGAAACCCAGATGGAACTTCAGGAAAGCTAACTGGTCTGCTTTCTCCAGTCATATTAACCAATACTTAAGAGCGCAAACTATGGGAGATTGATGATGAGAACAATTCCTAGAGGGTAACACAAAGAGTATGTTCCTGGATGGTCCGAGGAGAGCAAAAAGATTATACGAAGAATTTTGTGAAGATGAAAGGCAGGAAATTGCAGATGAACTACCTCCATAGTATTGATGCTGCAAGGCGCGAGAAATTGATTGAGACAGTTGAAAACCTAGATTTTAAAAAATTGAGTAGACAAATCTGGTTCCTGATGCGAAAAACCTACCCGACTGACCAACCAATCTAATAACCACAAACCAAGTGACGACCTACATAGCGTTAACCTCAACAGCATCCAGAAAGACATACACACAATTAAAATTAAAAAGGACCTAGACTTTATAGTTCATCTGTGCACTTGAAACAAGTGTTTTTACAGTTTCTTCAAATTCTTTTATTGCTTTAAAAGACAGAGAAAGATGTTGTTTGTTAACTTTTATGAATTGTTCTTGGTTTTTTCTTAATTGTTCGATTACTTGATCGTATCTTTCTGCATCTTCGTTAGCTAGATTTCCTGTTATTGCTTTAATTACGCTTCCAAAAAGCGTAATTTATTGCTCCTCTCCTTATTCTCACCTTTGGAACTAACTGTAGCCATCCTTCATTCATTAGGTTCTTGTTTGTTGTTCCAAAGTTGTTCATTCCTGATAATTCTTGTTGTACTAATCTTGAATCTTTACTTTGTTCGATAATTCCTTGTATTTCTTGATATCTTTCATTCAAATTGTTTACTTCAATGCCAATAGGTTGTAAATCGTGTTGTATGACTAAGTCCGATCTTCCCACTTTATTTACTGCTTTATCCCAAGTAGAGTGAAAAAAATGGATCTTCTAATATTGTCATAATTACTTTTCCATTTGCGATCCAGTAAAGTAAATGTTTTAGATATCTTTTATGGTACGTTTGAACTCCTCTTTTCGTTACTACTTCCACTGTATCGTTAACTTTTATTATTTTATATGGTCCGAAGAAAGGTTTGGCAATCTTACTACTCTTTGTAATGTTCTTTACGTAAACCATCTCTCCGGTCTTCCATTCCGTTTCTTTAGTCCTTTCTGATTGTTCTTCCTGGGTCTTGCGCTTTCTTTCCTCATCTTTATCTCTTATTCGTTGATATAAGATTTTTATGCTATCTTTGTGCTTCTGGGTGATATTTTGGTAATTAGTTTCGTCATAAAACATGTCCATGAGATCTCTTATTTTCGTATGTCCTAATAATGCTTCCATTGGAGTTAAACCTGTTGGTGTTTGTATGATGTTGTCATGTGCTATAATAGCACTTCTTATTTGCTCTTTATTGTAGCAGTATTATCTTCTTCTAAACATCTTAGATGCTCCACTGTTGTTACATGCAAGTTTATTTTATGGACTTTTGCGAGTTCCTTCACAATTTCCTTGTAGAATTCTGCGCCTTGATCTGCACTTATTTCGTTCGGTATCCCATAGTATGCAAAATACGTTAGTATCCACGATTTCTGTCGGATTTACACTTTTGCTCTCAGATGCCTAAATTTTGAAAAAAATTTGAAAAGATGAAAATTGGATGAAATCGTTGTTTTACATATTGTTGTTGGTAAAGCGCAAGATTCAAAACATTTTAGAAGAAAAGTTTTAGTATAAAAGTTGTAGCAAACTTTATTGTTAATAATACGCTCTATTACACTTTTGCTCTCAGATGCCTAAATTTTAAGATAAATTCGAAAAGATGAAAATTAGATGAAATCGTGGTTTTACATATTGTTGTTGGTAAAGCACGAGGTTCAGAGCATTTTAGAAGAAAAGTTTTAGTATAAAAGTTGTAGCAAACTATATTGTTAACAATATCGCTCTTTTACACTTTTGCTATCAGACGGCTAAATTTTGAGAAAAATTCGAAAATATTAAACATAGATGAAATCATGGTTTTACATATTGTTGTTGGTAAAGCACGGGATTCGGAACGTTTTAGAAGAAAAGTTTTAGTATAAAAGTTGTAGCAAACTTTATTGTTAACAATATCCCTCTTTTACACTTTTGCTCTCAGATGCCTAAATTTTGCGAAAAATTCGAAAATATTAAACATAGATGAAATCGTGGTTTTACATACTGTTGTTGGTAAAGCGCGAGATTCAGAACATTTTAGAAGAAAAGTTTTAGTATATAAGTGGTAGCAAACTTTATTGTTAACAATACTCTCTTTTACACTTTTGCTTTCAGATGCCAAAATTTTGAGAAAAATTCGAAAAGATTAAAGTTAGATGAAATCGTAGGTAGGTTTACATATTGTTGTTAGTAAAGTGCGAGATTCAGAACATTTTAGAAGAAAATTTTTAATATAAAAGTTGTAGCAAACTATATTGTTAACAATATCGCTCTTTGAAACTTTTGCTCCCAGATGCCTGAATTTTGAGAAAAACTCGAAAAGATGAAAATTAGATGAAATCGTGGTTTTACATATTGTTGTTGGTAAAGCACGAGGTTCAGAGCATTTTAGAAGAAAACTTTTAGTATAAAAGTTGTAGCAAACTATATTGTTAACAATATCGCTCTGTTACACTTTTGCTATCAGACGCTTAAATTTTGAGAAAAATTCGAAAATATTAAACATAGATGAAATCGTGGTTTTACATATTGTTGTTGGTAAAGCACGAGGTTCAGAGCATTTTAGAAGAAAACTTTTAATATAAAAGTTGTAGCAAACTATATTGTTAACAATATCGCTCTTTTACACTTTTGCTCCCAGATGCCTAAATTTTGAGAAAAACTCGAAAAGATGAAAATTAGATGAAGTCGTGGTTTTACATATTGTTGTTGATAAAGCGCGAGATTCAGAACATTTTAGAAGAAAACTTTTAGCATAAAAGTTGTTGCAAATTATATTGTTAACAATATCGCCCTTTTACACTTTTACTGTCAGATGCCTAAATTTTGAGAAAAATTCGAAAAGATGAAAATTGGATGAAATCGTGGTTTTACATCTTGTTGTTGATAAAGCATGGGATTTAGAACATTTTTGAAAAAAATTTCAGTACAAAAGTTGTAGCAGACTTTATTCTTAACTATTTTGCCCTTTTACACATTTGCTTTCAGATGCCTAAATACTGAGAAAATTTCGAAATTCGAAACATATTATTGTTAGGTGAAAAGTATATCAATTCAATCAGTTGGTAAGTCTGGTCCGCTTGTAACATAACCTCAATCCTTTACATTTCTTGTTGTGATTTATTATTATTTATTCATAAAATTTTGTATTAAAAACTATAAAAGAAACTATGATAACTATATACGTTGATAACAACGTTCCTTGCATATATAAAATTGAAGGTAGTATTTTACTTAAATAATAGAAAATGCTAATATTGCTAAATATAATACTTTATAGATTGGGAAATACTGAGGAAAACTTATAGAATTATTGGAAACCCTTTAGGAACAAATTTTTGTATACCTTGTATAAAAAGCTTCTGAATAAATCATTTAACAAATATTAATTTTGTATTTCCTTTAAGCATTACCAGTGAGTCTATTACCAGAAGAAGCTTTAATATTAAAACGTAAAGGAATTGTAAAGCTTATTACATTAAAACAAATACTAAATACTGAACCGAGAGATAATCAAGAAAAAGCATATAATGATTTTAAAGTTAAGTTAATCAAAGCACAAAAGGAAATGTACCGAGACATAAGAAAGAAACAAATTGAACTTAACATTAAAAAACTCATTGCTGGGAAAAGAAAAAAAGGGGATGATAGGTGTGAACAAGAGATTTTTGAGGAAGAATTAGAAAAGTCTTGTTGCATTGCAGAAGATTCTATGTTATGGCCAATTTTTTGTGAACATCAAATCACATCTAAAGGTATATTTATATTTTAAAATATAAAATTTTTCTTTATTTATTTAAAGCATTTTTTAGATTGTCATGATGAAGTTGGTGAAGATGTTTTATTAGCAAAAACAACCCAAACAAAGTTAACTATTTATGAAGATCTTTGGAATCGCGGTTTTTATATCACAGTTGGAAATAAATTCGGTGCAGATTTTTTGGTTTATTTAGGTACTTTTTCGATGAAAACTTTTTTTTATTTACTCTTAGTGTTATTTGTAGGTGATCCAGTTTTACACCATGCTGTTTACATTGTAATAATTGTAGAAAATCCTAAGAAATTATTTTATCCCAGTGAATTAGTAGCATATGGAAGACTAGGAACATCAGTAAAGAAAAAAACGTTACTTGCTTCATTAATGGAAACAGGAAAAGTTTCATATTTAACATTGAATTGGATGGATGATTAAAACATACATTTTAGTTACTAAATATTTACTATAATAATAAATCGAATTTAAATTTGTTCAATTAATTTAAAATTATTATGTTGTGGATTAGGAATAACATTAAAGTATTTTTTGTAGAATTTTGTCCCCATTCTAGAGCCATGACATCGTTGTACCCAGGTGTGGTCCCAATCTGGGTTAGTTTCTTCACAAGTAACAACTACTTTACCGGGTATCATTGCAAATAATGTTCCATTTCTTCCCAATCCAACCTAAACCAACAAAAAAGATATAAGAACTTTTATGATGAAGAAATTTAAGTTTTACATTTTGTCCTGGGTGAAACCTTAGTGTTCTTTGTAGAACTAAAATGGTGCCTGATTCAACCCAATGCCCATCTTGTCTCTTCCACCCTCTATGTTTCGGCCTAATCTTAGTGCTGTTATTTTTTGTACTACCACCAGCTTTTTTACTCGCATTTCGAACAGTATCTAAAAATCGATTTGAATTAAATGTTTTTAATCCTTAGTAAAGTTGCTTACGAGAAATTGTTGTTTTGTCAAGCAATAATTTTGAAAAAATGTTAATTATACTATTCATGTTTGCTTTATTTTTATTCCTTCTTTGAGTAATAAAATGAGGTTATGTCATTTATGATTTTGAGGTTAAGTTACACATTTTTGATTTTAATACAAAGTTTATGTGTTTTGGAGAAATAATTTTATTGCTAACAATATTAATTATATTTAATATTAATAATTAATTTCGATTTTAATTTATTTTAATTAATGTTATATCAGAACGTATTCATGATTTAAATTTTATGAAAGCAGTTGTCACATTTATCAACTCAACCACTAAAGGAAATGTTATAAAGATTAACAATAATTTGGTATTACTTGATAATAGTATAAATATTTTATTTAATTAAATAAATTTTAGGTTAAAATCCCAAATTTTCGTTGATTGTGTCAATAATTTCAAATCTCAAGGTGGTTTTGAGTACATTCTGAAGGTTGCTGTAGAAAGAGATGGTAATAAGGATTCTGTTAAGAGCAACAAAGGAAACGATTAAATAAGAGTTGGCACCCCTTTAAAACGTTAAACACGCCACCGTGCGTAAGATCGACAAAATTTGCCCCCCACATTTTTCAAGAGCACAGTCACGAGTAGCTAGTGAATTTCAACGGTTTTCAAGTTGAATATTATTTGCTTCAAGTGTTGATTTATATGTAAAGTTTTCTGCCGTCGTTGTCGTTAGTTATAAGTTAAAAATGTTCTCAACGAAATTGGAAGTAGACAAACATGTGGAAAATTGCTTGAAGAAGATAAATAGCGAAAATGAGGTACGTCATGTAACCGCCATTAGTGCCGGCATTTAAGCATTTCTTTAAATTCATTATTTACGTCTCATTAGCCCCAGCTTTAAATCCTAAAAATGATACGTAAAATATAACTAATTTTCAATATTCCCCTGTGCATTACGCATAATATGAACGTGGTTATTTTTAGTTTGGTCGTAGCGGGGTCGTGTTAGGTATAACTGGCGGGAATATTGCGTCTAAAAATATCTACGTGAAGTTATTATTGCCATTGCTCGGCGCAATAAACGTGTGATTTTTATTTTTTTAATTCACAGCGAAATTTGCGGTGCATTGCCTTCGCCAAATTATATTTCAAGGTGGCCGATTATGAACAAGCCAGGAGGTATGTTTCTATATATCTTGGATCCAAACCACTTTCTGCAGAAGCCCACCAACTTCTTGGCAAAATATTGGAGAAACAGGGCAAGTTTGACGCCGCCTTTGAAGCATATAGATCCAGTTTAGAAATTGATTCCAAACAAAATAATGTGATTATGAAAGGTAATGTGTTTTATTCCCTTAGGGCCATTTTTATTATAGACCTGTTAAGCTGTTATATATATTTAATAAGAAGATAAAGATGACCTTTCATAGATAAAGTTTTATTAAAAGAACTAAATGTGGTTAAGATGTGCAATAATCTAGCAATGAATAACAACTCAAACTACAGCTAACACTAGAAACAGTAGGGTTTATCCATGCCTGTTTCAAGATTGCTAAACCTGAATGTTTTTAGTTCTATGTCTAATGTTAGTTCTAGTTTAAGTTGTTATTCAGAGCTAGGTTGTTTATTGAACTAAAACTAGCTCTCACACTAGACCTACAACTATAAACACTTTGGTTTAGCTGTCTTGAAAGACACATTGATAAATCCAAATGTTTCTAATTCTAGGTTTAGTGTTAGTTCTAGTGTAAGTTGTTATTTAGCGCTAGGTTGTTATATATTTTTATTGAACTAAAACTAGAACTAATGATAGACCTAGAACTAAAACTAGAATGTTTTTAGTTCTAGATTTAGTGTTAGTTTAAGTTGTTATTTAACACTAGGTTGTTGTATATTTTTATTGAATTAAAAGTATTATTAACACTAGTACTAGAAAAATTCGGGTTTAGCCATCTTTAACCTTTCAGAAGGCGCGTCTATTTTTATTACACATGCAGGCGTGTGGTGTACAATGTACACATAGGAAAATGTCTTCTTTTGGGGGAAATTTACATCTTATTTCAGAAAAAAGACAATATAGAGAATACACAACACTTTATTGTTATATATTTTATGTCTTTACAATATAGAGCAGTGTTTCCCAAATTTAGTCAGTATACAGACCCTTTTTTTGGAGAACAGTTAATATTACAGACCCCCTTCCCAAGATAAGTTTATTTTTCAAGGATGTGTACAAATGTACATACATTAAAAATAAATACAGGATATCTCACATAAGCAACAAAGTACATAAATGGCATTAAAGAGCCGAGATACGCAGTTCTTCCTTAGACAAAAGTTGTAGGAAATTGATCACACTATAAACAGAAAATATTTTTATACATACAGGGTGTTCCATAACGATGTACTGACATAAACATATGTTATTTTAGATGTTATTTTTATTTGAAAGAAGTTAAAAATAAATATAAAAATAGATATTGGTAGATATATCTATGAATATCTAGTAGATATATATCTATGAAGATATATAGATATATATAAAAAGTCAATCTATCAAATCAATATTTCAAGTTTTAGCAAAAAATAAATTTAATGGGATGGATGTACTTGGTGATCTGATAATAATTTATCTATATCAGGTTTAAATTTAGTGATTTGCATTCTTAAATCACCACATGCAGTGATATCTAAACGATTTCTCCTTTTGTTGAGTAGATTTGAAACTAAACTAAATCCTCTTTCTACCAGGTATGACGTTGGGAATGCCAGCAAATATTTCTGTGTCACTGACCATAAACCCGAGTAGAGCAACAGTATATCTTTTTGAAGCCAAAACTTTTGATAGCCCTGCATAAACTGCATTTTCATCTCTTAATTTGTGCATAGAGATATTAGCTCTTCTTGTATAATAATGTCTTCTGATTCTGTCATATTTTCGTACAGATTCATTATCCATGGGGGTATGTGCAAGGATAGGATATGAATCGCTTTCTTACTAAAAAATAGTTTTAATTCTTTAAATACCGACTGACTTTTGGTGTCCGTCTAATCTTGATCATTTGATATTTGCAAAAACGCTCAAATATCCTTTAGCAGCGTAATTATTTGAGCTCTCATAATTACTTGCTCTTTCATTAAAACAATTGCTAAATTACTTAAGAAAATTCTTCGTCTACACTGATTTCCCGCAGAATGTTTTGTGAAATACAATATTTACGAGTTTATTCCCGCTATATTTAGGAACGTAAAAAACAGGACTAACGACCGTCTAGTAACCCTCAAAGTAGAGTAGGCAGCGTACATCTTATTAACCGTATCTACTGCTCCTTTTGTTTGATTATAACTTAAAATTATTTCTCATGCATCGTTGATAATAATATAACGGCTTTGTTTTTTCTTGGGACATAAGACACTAATACAGTATCTTGTTGAAAGCCAAAAAAAGACGATTTTTATTTGGCAAAAATTCCGTAGGAATTTCACCTTTGTTTTTACGTAATGTTCCGAAGAATGTAGTTTTCATCATACATTTGAAAATTTTTGTCGTGGGACTTCATAACTACTTTCTCTTTTTTGAATATGTAAGAAAGTAACATTTTATTTTTTTTATTAACTAAATAATGTGTATTGTTTTCTTCCTTTTGTAGGCACAAATTCATTCGAAATTTCGCGTTGTTTTCGGCTGCTGTCTTGCCTAAACTTCAAAATTATTCATATAATAATTTTGAGCATCACAAAGCAAAAATATTTTAATTCCATAACGAGCAGGTTTGCTCGTTACGTATAGGCGAAACGAACATCGTCCATGAAAGGATTTTAATTTTTCATTATCCGTTGTATATTCTCCTATTACATATGATTTTTGCATATTTTCCTGTAATCTTGAAAGAACTTCTCGGATTTTCTTCTATTCTATTTATATACGTTTTCCAAAAGAAAACCCGCAATAATTTTACGTTACAAAACAAAAGGAGAGATTAGAAAATCTTTTCTCTGCTGCCGCTCTCATTGCATGTTATGATCTTTTGTTTTTCTGTTCTTTGTCTAGGTAACGTCTGATCCTTGTCTTGATTATCCTCAAGTGTATCTTCTGTTTGCATGATGACAGGCAGATGGCCCTATTGTTATCACAGTCGTTTGTGTTTCTTCTTGTACAATGGTATGATAATATTTTTCTTCCAATCTCTGGTATTGTATTTCCCGTCTCTGGTCCTGTCTTGTTCTTGCCTTAAACTTATCTTCGTAGCATTTACTTCAGGTGTCCAGTATTTTGCTTTTCTCTATTACAATATTTCCATTCTTATCTTTTATACGTATCTTCCTACATTTTCGTCTTGGTTTAGCTGTCGTCTAGAACTCTTTCTTATTCTTTGTTATGTTTAAACGTTTTTTCCTCACTCCACCATTTTGTTCTTTTAAAACTTCGGCTGATTCCATTTTTCAATTACAATACCTCTTTTGGTATTGTAATTTTGAGTTTTATCCATCTTTCTTCTCTTGTCTATTGTTCCTCTTGTTTTTCCATCCTGTCATGTTGCATTAACAATTCATTTATTCTAGTATTCCACTTTTCCTCATTCTGTCAGTCGTTCTTCAGTCCTTATTCTCTGGTATTCCTTTTCTGGTGGATTTGGTTTTCTTGTATTGAATCTTCTATCTGCTATGAGTAGCTTGTGGTCTGAGCTTATTTCCGCTTCTCTTATGACTTTTATATCTAGTATAGCATATTTTTCTGGGGTGTAATAGTTTATTTTGTTTTTGCATTTCGATTGTCTGCTGTGAAGGTAATCTTATGTATTTCCTTGTGGTTACACCAGCATTCTCTTCTTCTGTGGCCACTGTCGTCTGTAATCCTGTCGCTGCAGAAATTCCCATGTTTGTTGAAGACTTGTATAGAACGACTCCCTCTCTGTGGTTTCTGCATCCTCTGATGCTATATAGATTTATATGAGCTTGCACTTTCCCAGTCAGTTATTTGGTATTTGGCACACTTGATATCAGTTTACATCCTTTATCAAAAATTACGTTTATACTTCTTTATTTCTGATGAGCCCAATATTTTGACCTTGTATCTTATCACTTCTTTTACAAGCTCTTTTGTCTTGTCCGTTGTTTTTTATCGCTTTCCGGGCATCCGTCCATGTCCGAGGCTAGTGTTTGTTATCTGAATCATTAAATGCGTCTTTTGGCTAATTAGCCCGATAAAGGTGCGCGCGAAAAATAAAGGTTTTAAAAGCTCTGTATTCATACGTTTGTAAATATTTTTTTACTTATATTATGGTTGTTCAGCTATCAACAGTAATGGGAAAGCTTAATCATAATAATGAGACGTCTCAATGTTCATATAATAGTATTAGAAATAAGTGCATTTGTACTCTTGCCAAATTAGCTTAAATCAAATAACAAGTTTATTATTTAAAAGCTAAAAATAAACTACATCAACATTCTTCTCATACAATTTCAGTAACAGTAATTTATTTTATCTACTTATATTAATATAGATTTTTTAATTTTTTTGCAGTGTGCGAATTACTCGCAAATGAAAACGTAAATTTCGACGTATCCAGCGCTAGGTTTTTCTGTGAAAGAGCTCAATCTATAGACCCAAACAATCCCCTAATATGCACGTTAAAAGAAAAATTAATAATGCTAGAAGGAAAAGATCCAGATGACGTGTCTCGTTTATTAAAAAAAGAGTTAGAAGCTCGTCCGACTGATATCGATATTCAAGTACGTTTGTTGCGTCACTTTTTACAAAACAATCAAATAAAAGAAGCTTACAAACACGCTTACGAAATTGAGCACGCGAATTTGTCGGTGTTTATAAAAAGTTTTAAGTGGTACAAAACGATTGCGGAAGTTTTGGTTAAATACCAACAGGATAATTATTCAAATAAGAATTTAAATTGGGAATTTTGGATGTTATTGGTTTCCGTGTTAGATAAGCTGGTTTATTTGAATTTAGATGAGACGAATAATTCAAAAACGCCGAATGAATACGTTGGTACCGTTTTCAATTTTGATCAAACGCTTAAAATCGCTGTTGATAATATTCGAAATTGCCCAGAAAAACAATTATTACAAGAATTCTTGAATCATTACAGAGGCCAATTATGTTTTCATTTGATTACGTTGATGTATAAACAAGCGAAAAATGGACTGATTAAATATAAAGAGGCTTATCGAATGTGTTTACCACTTTTATTTGCCGCGTATCATACGCAACCCGTTGATTTACAGTGTTTATGGATTAATCATACTTCGGAATCGAATAAACAATTAGTGAAAAGATGGAATCTTGAGGCTTCTTATAGATGTTCTCAAATTGGGCATATGTTAACTTCTTTGGCGAAGGATAGGAAATCAAGTTTTATCGAGAAAGCTAACCAATCATCTTCAGGAATGTGGAGGGAGCAGTTTTTTAAACAACTTTTTGTTACTCGAGATCAACAATCAAAATTAAAAACGAGTTATTTCGCAACTTGTCCACAATTAGTCGATTTAACGCTTAGATTACCGGATAAATCCGATATTGAGAAATTCGATCAAGTGGCTCAACTTGTTAACCCGGATTCTTTACACCATTACATCTGGTTGGGTTTAAATCAAGATTTATCCAATTTTAAACTTTCGGTTTTTGATGGATTGCAGTATTCCATTAAAAATCTTAATAATTGTTCTGCGGAGTCGTTAACGATTTTAGATATACAATCTTTTCTTTTCGCTTCGATTTTATGCGCTCAGCAACAAATTAACGAACATAAACACAATAATATCTATTATTCTTCCGATAAACCGACTGTTTTACCCGCGGTTATTACCCAGCAATTCGGGACTGTCAACCAAACGAAATGGCTAGTTTCCGCTTACAAGATGTTCAAATGCGATTATGGCGCGAATTTTAGTGAAGTACGTTTGACGCTTATTAAAGGTATCGAAACGATACGCTGCGTTGGAAATCACGGATTGGATGTTAAGCTGTTGGTTTTATTGGCGAAAACGTTTGCAGAAAAAGCTAAAGTTTTAGAGAAGCAATCCGAAATTGAATTTAACGAAGCGCGCGCTGAAGTTTATTGGAAAACCGCTTTACCTTTATTGGAAAAGTTGAAAAATAATCAAGCCATATTTTATTCGCCAGGTCGGCTTTTTGAATACAAATCAAAAGAGATGGCATCATCCGAAATTATTTCCTATATTGACGATGGGAGATTATTCATTGCGATCCAACACATGAAAAAGAAAGATTACGAAAAGGCGTTGCAATTGTTCCAAGTTTTAAGAGATCCTTACGCGAGTTATTATCTCGCACAAATTTACAAAACGAAATCCGAAGAACAAACCAGTAAGAACAAAGAAAATTTAACGTCCGAAATGCGTAGCCAAAACATTATTTTATTATCAAAAGCTAAAGATTGTCTTTATCTAACATTCGACCGGTTAAGAGATCCAACTGTTAATCAAAAACATCCATTAAACGCAATATTAGGCACGGAAATTGATAAAATCGAAAGGATGCTATCCAGAATTGATCCAGACACATACAACAGAAACGAATGTGACGGGATGTCGGATGAAAATTTATCTTCCGTGGGTAGTGTCGATCATAACAATTACACCATGTGGAATAACAGTTTTTTGAATGGTAGTATGAACGCGACGAAAAATGATATTCATCAAATGAGCACCACTCCATTAAGATTGGACACAACAACCAGAAGGGAAGCACGACCAAGCCCTGAAAGATTAGATGCGCAATTAAAACAACTCCTAGCGACAAGAGATACAAGTTTAAATCATATTATGGATCAAAATAAGTTTATGGTCGAATCACAAAAGAGTTTAGTAGACGCAGTTAATACGTTTACAACAAATACTGTGGAAGAAATGCGCATATTACGCACTTCCATCGATGATTTGAAACATTCCATTTGTGACATTCAAAGTTTATCTGATCAAATGGCCAAAATGAGGAAGGATATTGCCGAATTGAAGAAATCTACAACAACTAAACCAAAAAATACCGAATTAAGCGAAGAAGATCTTTACGCCCTTTACGAAGAATGTAATACTGAACTTAACAATGCCAATATAGTTCCTTCACTAAACCAGAACTTTTATCCAAATATGGGAAAAATTGCGGGAAATCCATTACAATATGGAGCTGTTGCTGCTGCCACAGCCGCTTTATATCCCGGGATGTATCACCCAATGTTACCGTATCAAGGAGTACCTTTACCTCAACCTGGAGCCTTAACTTATGGACCAGACGCTCAATTGGCCGATTATCGAAACTTACAATCAAGTTACTCACAACCTTCTCCATTAGCTCAAGGATTAAATCACGTAGGATTACCATTACCTGGAATGCATCATACCACTTTATCTCAACCTGGATTACAAAACACGCTTCAACAGCCAAACCTACCAGCAACTTTACAACAGCACCCACCACAATTACAACATGTTGGTTTACCCCATGCATCATTATCACAACCGGTATTACCACAAACGATAATGCCCCCTCAACATTCTGTCCAAAATAATTTACCTCAACCGCTTCTTCAACCCTCCACCTCTTCTTTGAGTCAAATAACCACCAGTTTAATAGGGAGTGGATTTTCAAGTAGTAACACGACTTTGACCGGTTCAGCTTATTCTTTGGGTACAAACCCAGCGACATCTTTAACTGTGTCTAGTAAAGCCCCTCCAGTCAATGTTGTAATAACTTCATCTGATCCTTTACCATCAACAAACACAAACCCTCAACCGGTCCTTTCTGTTACAATTCCACCACAGCATTTAAAGGGGGGGGTTCAAAAATCGCAACAACCTCATAATTATCAAATTCAACTCCCGCCCGTCACTACAATTGTAACGCCATCAGTGATGAGTCAAACAGCCCCGGTTGTTGTGACCCAAGCTATCCTTTCCAACGTAGCTCCCCCAGTATATTCAGCCGTCGATAAAACTCCTCAGAAAAATACTAGTTTGGGTTTTGCAATTGAAAAGTCCTTAAATGAAAGTTTTGGTGCAGGCGGAGAATTGGAAAATCATGATTTAAATAAAAGTTGCGTTTCGTCGAATTCAGTGGAGGAATACGATCCCTGCCCTGATTTTAAAGCAATCATACCATTACCTGATGAGGTCCCATTGAGTACTGGAGAAGAAGATGAAACTGTTTTATTCGATGAAAGAGCGAAATTATATAGGTTTGATCAAGGTACAAAAGAATGGAAAGAAAGAGGAGTGGGGATATTAAAGCTGCTTAAAAATAAATCAGGAAAAGTTAGGATTCTAATGAGGAGAGATCAAGTACATAAAATATGCGCAAATCATTTTATTAATAAAGAAATGGTAATTTCGCCTATGAAAAATACTGATAAAGCGTATTTTTGGGCGGCCAACGACTTCGCCGACCAAGAAATTGTGTTTGAAAAGTTTTGCGTTAGATTTAAAACAGCTGATGAAGCGCATAAGTTCTACACCGTTTTTGAAAGTGCTAAAGAGTTGATACCTGATAATACTCCCATTAAAAAAAGTGATGAAAAAGGCGATTCGAAATCTTGCGAAATATCATCAACGCCTAAAACAGAAACGCCAAAACAATCAACAATTTCTTCATTAGGAGGGTTTAAATTTACGAGTACTCCAACATTTTTACCTAAAGACATACCATCTCCGAAAGAAGTGGTCAAATCTGAACCAATTAAATCTAGTCCATTTACTTCTTTCAGTTTCACCAAACTAGCAATATCTTCGCCCAACATTAATATTAACAATTCATTTACAACGACTCAGTCAGACACTATTAAATCAGTACCTGAAAAGAAGGAGGATACCACAGAAAAAAGTGATTCTTTGGTTGAAGAGTACGAACCGGACGTTGTTTTTACACCAGTTATTCCCTTACCTGAATTGATAGATGTGAAAACAGGGGAAGAAAACGCGGAAGTACTTTTTGATTGTAAATCTAGATTATTTAGATTCGATGCGGAAACTAAACAATGGAAGGAAAGAGGTATTGGACAAATGAAAATTTTGAAATTTGATAATGTGATTAGATTTGTTATGCGACGCGAACAAGTTCATAAAGTTTGCTGTAATCATCAATTATTAAAGAGTATGTCGTTCTCTCTTATGCCTCAAACCACCAAAATAATATCGTGGTGCGCTCAAGATTATTCCGAAGGCGTTCTACAATCAGAACTGTTTTCGTTAAGATTTAAAACTGAAGAACAAGCGCAAGAATTTTTACAAGTTATCAAACAAGCTACGGAAATGTTGGACGATAACAATTGTGTAGCAAATAGCGTTGAAACGGTTGAAAAGAAGTCTGATAAAAAAGTTAAACCTGACAACGAACCTAAAAAGGACACCCCCACTAAGCAGAATTTAAGTTGGAGCGAAAAACACAAACCAAAGCATGGCAGTTGGGAGTGTAAAGTCTGTTACGTCATTAATGATGGAAAAAAGAACTTGTGTGCAGCTTGCGATACTCCCAAAAATGAGACGAAGAAAACCGAAGCGAATCCTTCGCAATTTTCGTTTGGTGTGAAACCGGAAGAAATCAAATTTGGATCTCCATTCCAAGCTCCAAAAACTCCATCACAACAACAAAGCAGCGGTTGGGGTAACGCTTTTAAGCCTGCCGCAGATTCATGGGAATGCCAAACGTGCTTAATACGTAATAACAAAGACGAACTATATTGCGTTTCCTGTGAAACACCAAAAGATAACACTGTACCTAAAAAAGAAACCAATAAAGGTGTTAATTTAGATACACCTGGAATGAAGTTTTCATTTGGAATACCACAATCTACAACTGATTCGACAGTTTCTTCAACGACTTCCCTAACTACTACACCAAAAAATGTTGCCAATATCCAACCATTAATACCGCAACAAAAAATTAGTTGGGGAAATGCATTTAAACCCCCGGCGGATTCTTGGGAGTGTTCGAGTTGTTTGGTTCGGAACGCTAAAACCGATCTTTATTGCGTTTCGTGTCAAAATCCCAAAGATGATACGGTTCCCAAAAAAGACAACACCACCAACAAAGGTATCAACTTGGAAACACCTGGTTTATCATTTAGTTTTGGAATTCCCACCACTTCAACCACCGGCGCTTCGTTTTCCTTTGGCTCACTTGCTACTACAAAACCCGGATTCTCATTTGGGACGAACACAACAACAGATTCACAAAAACCGGTTGAGTTTAGTTTTACTTTAAAACCAGAAGTCAAAGAAGACGATAAATCCAGCACCACTGAAGAATTTGTATTTGGATCGCCAACCAAACATAACTTCGATTTTACGCCAAGGTCTCCAAGAAGACAAAGTAGTGGTCCAGGCGACGATGACTCAGAAGATTATTTGGAAGAAGAAGAAGATAATATTTACTTTAAACCTGTTATTCCGTTGCCAGATAAAGTTGAAGTGAAGACTGGCGAGGAAGACGAGGAAGTTTTGTATTGTCATAGAGCGAAATTGTTTAGATTTACTAATCGAGAGTGGAAGGAAAGGGGAATTGGAGATGTTAAAATTTTGAGGGATTCAAAAACTGGAAAATTAAGGTGAATATTAATTTTTTTTATTTAATAGTTATTTAAGATTTACTAGATCTATAAATTGTTTATCACTTTTAATTTTTCCGAAAAATACTGAAAAATCGCTTGCAATCGAGATTTTATAGTTAATAAGAAATTGATCAACTCAGTATTATTATTATATTAGCCAAGGCCGAGACTCTACAATTAACATCATATCAACCTGAAGTTTATCAACTGTATGTAGCGCCTCGGCCGATTGTGGCCTTGACTTATCTTAAAGTTGAAAATCTATATAAATTTTAAACTGACGTCCCTTGTGGTGGAGGCATTGCATTGTATTAATTATTTTTGGGTAGCTGAGATAGTAGTCGCAGCGCCAAGACCGGAAGCGATCTCGGCTTGATAAGATAAAGTCGATGACCCTTTGGCTTCTTAACTAACAATAAAAATAACGGAATTGAATTTTCCCAATACAACTCTATTTTTATAAATAAAAAAAAATAACTACGTAAGATTATATGGGAAACTGTGTAAACCGTTACTTGTTTGAACACGAGTCGGAATGGTGTCATTTTGTGTTGCAAAGCACTTTAGCCCTCTCACACTTGCATAAATTTGTTTGTTATTTCTTATTGCACTTACACTTCAAAAACCCTTAGCCCTCGACGGCAGAGTTTTGGCTACTAATCTGACGCAGAGAGAATTCAATCTCTGGGACGTCTTGAATTTTCATAAGTGTGTCTTTACACGTTTGAATTTAATTTTTCGAATACAGCAAGGCAATAATTTCTTGGTTCCAATTTTATAAAGTCCATCATTTGTTGTCTCCAAAACTACGCCAATTAAGTTTTGCGCATCTCCTTTGCTCCTGCCAAGGCTTGGAACAGGCACAGTAACTGATGTTCCAACCTCAATCGGGGGAAATTTTTTATTAGATGTAAACTTAATTTTCTCTGCCTGCTCTTTCAATCCTTCGACAGCTTTCTCTTGATTTGAAGTCATCGTTTTTCTTTTTACACACCGAAGATATAAAACTGATGCTCCGTAACCCTCGTGCGTATTACTTGTACTCTGAACACAGATGACATGAACATCCTGCGCACAGCTATAACACTTGTGGACTCCTGAACAGGTTCCAATTTTGCCATATCAACGCTAAGGGCAGGGGTTGTTCCTTTAGTATTTTCTGCATCAGGAAACGGAGTTGATCCTCCAAGACTTTCTGCATTAGGACCACGAGTGAGCGTTTCTTGCTTTAATAGAAACTGTTATTTTTTTTTGTACTGAACTGAAATTATTGTTTACCGAACATCGCTTCAAAAGGTGTTTGTCGTATTCCGCTATGGAATGCATTGTTTTTCTGAAGCTGACAAAAACGAAGACCTTCGCTCTAATGCTTAGTGTTATTGTCTTCCATCTGACTATTGCTAGCTCGGGTCACACTTCTCTTAACTCTTCAACTACTCGATTAGCAAACTCTCGTCCGATGTCCGACTGCAACACGCTGGGAGTTCCCAAAATACAAAAACATCCAATAAGGTGTGAGCCACTTCCTCTGCTGTCTTCGTCTTCAATGGACGTAAAATTGTAAACTTAGTTAGATGATCCTGGTAGTTAAAAATATATCGGAAATCACCATCACGACAAGTCTGCATATCTATGAGATCGACCTGTCCTCGGGAAACTTTTGGTTTAACTGTTAATCCGTTTTTAGGCTGGTTCCTTTTTTTATGGCATACTTGACAGAGCTGTAAACAGCAAATTATTGTTTCTCGTGTTACGTTCGCATATTTATTGCCTAGCTCTTTTATCATTCTATCTCTTCCACCGTGCCCACATTCACGATGAGCGTTGTGAATTACATCAAAAAGATCGTCATTTGTAACAAAATATTTTACAGTAATTGGATCAGAAACCGGAAGTATTAACTTTTTTTATCACCTAAACGTAGCACATCGTAACGTTTAAGGCGACAATATTCAATTAGAAATTAATTTGATGACTTGGTCATGTTCATTAATTTTTCCATAAATTTGGATCTCAATTCTGATTCGGCGTTGGTTGCATGTATCTCATTTTGAAATAGTTCGAAAAACTTTTATTTTGAAGTACACTCAACCGCAGTAAGGGAAAGACTGATCGTCGACAAGTTGAAACTTGCAGAGTGCGTCGTGTGCATCACTGACAAGGAAAACACGTGAAACTCAAGCTTACCTGAACCACTTTGGGCAAAGTCCGTAGTTAATTACACTTACACAGTATATTGGGTGGCACATCTTGCATCGCAAGCCGCAAGCAAGCTGGAGTTAATAGCAATAAGAACGTACGATCGATTAACCAAGGCACAATATGTTTTGTCAGAAAATATATGATATTATTTAATTAAGGTTGGGCCGCTGGGTACCAAGGCGCCACCATTAATATCATCACAATAATACGTATTAAACTGTAGATATTCCTCGTCCGTAAGCGATTTCGATTAAATTAGCACAGAAAATATCGTGTTGAATTATTTAGCTGAGACTGCTTATAACCAAGGCGCCGCTATATCTACTGTGTCCAATATTATTTCGATGTTTTATCAACTGTAGTATCTTCCCATTATGACGATGTCATCTGCGTATGCTGTTAATTATGTTTCTTTGTGCATAATCTGTTTGCAACTCATTAATAACTCTCTGGAGTGCTACTTGATCCATGGTGTTATAGACTTGCTTAAAGCCTATGAACTATGCTTTTTCAATTAGTTTCAAGACTGTGTGGTGGATATGCAGCCTCTAAACCCATCTTTCTATTCGCCTAAGTTCTCCTTGGCCTACGGTAATTTTGAGCCATAGTATTCTGTTAGGACTTTATATGTGGTATAGAGAAGAGATATCCCCCTATAATTTCGACAGTTAAGCTTACCCCTTTTTTACGTATTGGAAACATGAGGACAGTCTACCAACCTGTAGGCATCTTCTCAGTCTCCCAGATTTTTACCATAAGCTGATATATGGTTACCATGAGCTCCTCACCTCCATACTTCAGTAGCTCTGTTGGGATATCATCTACCCTTAGTGCCTTATTACATTTTACCCTCTTTATGCTATTTATCTCGTCCAAGCTCATTTTACGTATTTGGGATTGGGTTGGGATACTTTATTAAGGAGCCATTTTTTGTCACGCCTTGTTTCTTTTGTCAATAGTATCCTTACATTCCTCGTCATACCAGTCATTCCTCTTTACCCCTTCTAGACTTCCAACTACCTCTTCGGTATCATTTAATATTTTGCAGCATCATTTTAATAGCTCTTCAGCAAGAATTTAATAACCTCATTCCTCCTCATTAATTTCCATGTTACGTAGTTCTTCCATAACTCTAGTCTTATAATTAATATGGGCGTCCATATCTTCTTGCAATTTTTGTGTATTGTACTTTTTAGCTTTGTCAGCTGCTTTCTTTTCAGCTTCACTAATCCTTTCTCGTAGTTTGATTTTGACAAGGTAGTTGTCGATTCCAAGCAGCTCCTCTGTAGCTTCTTACGTCTGTGATGCTAGAATATGATCTACTATCCACAACTACATGATCAGTTTAGTTGGTTGATTATCCAGCTAGAGTAACCCACGTTCCTTTGTGGATGCTTTTGTGTGGGAATGAGATGCTTCTTGCAAGTAGATTCTTACTTGTATCAAACTGTACTAACTTCTCTCCATTGTTATTCGTTTCCTAGTGCAGATTATGTTACTACTTGTGCATTGAGATCTTCGATTATCAGTTTGTTACCATTACTAATTCCTTTTGTAGCAGTGTAAAAAAAGCAGTTTTATGTACTTTTTCTTCCTTGGTCTTCTCCTCAGTGGGTGTATTGTGAAGATTAATAGATTTCTGTCATTTTGATTCGGACATAGCATATCCTTTCGCTGATAGGTGTAAAACTCGTCACTCGTTGTTGTACTTTCCTTTTGACAACAAATCCACAATCAAACTCATGTCTATTATCACTTCCACCACTATATGCTGTCCTTTTATAAGGTATCCTATTCCTGGCAATCTATTTCTTGCAGAGTCGTGACATCTAGTTTGTACTTCGTCTTATCCGAGACATATTTCTGTTGTTTCGAAATTGGTATTTTTTTTTCGGAAGGAGGTAATTGGCCTCTATTCCAACCTTCTTTTTGGAGAACCATTTCTCCCGCAAGATTGGATACCTGGTACCCCGTTTAAATCCCATTCCTTCTCGTAGATCCTCAAAATTCCAGTGTTCATTTTCGTACGAGGTTGCTCGTTTTTGGAATTTGATTTCCGTTTTAGGTTCTACGAGGTGTTTCGAGGTGGATGGCCTTTATCTTTTAAAAATTCTGTTAGGTAGGGACATACTTTAAAAGTTGTGTGCGCTCCATTTTCTCATTTTTTTTTTATTAATTAACATAAGTTCTATATACTAATATTAGATTATGGGTATCATTTAATTCGTAGTTTTTAGCTCTATTGCAAAATGTTATATAGGGTGTTCTGTTCAGTTTTCTGGAAAAACTGAAAGTAATAAACAATTTTTTATTCAAAAATATGTATGTTGTAATGTTGGCCATAATATGTTATAAAAATCCTTTTGCCAATGTCATTTGTCAAATTAAAAATAAATTCAATGATTATACTAGTCATTTTAATTGTAATAAACATTTTGTCAATGTTGTTAAGTTTAATGCTTTATTGGTCGATACTTACAGAGTCGTGATGCGCCGTGAACAAGTACTGAAAATTTGTCTGAATCACATATTAACTGCGGAAATTAAATATAGCGCGAAAGATGAAAAATCATGGTCGTTTGCAGCCGCTGATTATTCAGAAGGAGAAATTGAACACCGACAATTTTGTCTCCGTTTCAAGAACGGAGATATCGCCAAGGAATTTATGACCGCCATACAAGAAGCTGTCGAAGTTAAAAAAATTGATAAACCTGAAAAGAGTTCTGAAAATAACACAAAGTCTGATGAGTCTGATGTAGAAATTGTGTTTGAGACAACGGTAACGCCTGAAGAAGAACAAGAAGCGATTAAACTTGGTTTACCCCGCAAATTTATGGCTTATCGTCAAATGCCTGATTGTACATGCGATGAATGTAAAAAGGATGATGTGTCGTTAAAAGATATTTTAAAAAGTAAAGATGAGCAAAATTTAGATAAAACCCAATCGACGAATACGTTTGGTTCTAATACATCGTTCTTTGGAACGCCTTTAAGCGATATGTCGCGAACGGATTCTATCTTTCAAACACCTGTATCTGACGCTCTGCTGGCAACACCTACATCAACACCACAGGCAGCGGAGCAAATTAAAAGAAATCCTTTTAATACAGCAAAATCAGAAACAACCTTAAAATCTCTTTTAATAAAACCTGCAATTTTGAATGTTAGCAAGTCTGCAAGTGAGATTAACTCAAGCACATCATCTACTACAGTTGCAAGTCCTAAACCATCATTTAATTTTTCGTATAAACCGGATACTTCATTATCGACCTCTTCAAGTTGTTTCTCTAATTTGAATCCTTTAACAACAACACACGTTTTTGGTTCGAATAAAATATTTTCGTCAACAACACAACCTTCAAGCCAAATTTTTGGAGGAGGTAGTATCTTTGCAAACCCACCTGCTAAAACGTCAGAACATGTTTTTGGTAATACAAGCTCAATTAGTGGTGGATTATTTAGTAATGTGTTTGGTGGAAATTCCAATTCAACTGCATCAACACCACCAACAAGCACAATTTTTCAGTCGTCCACTCCTAATATTTTTGGTAGTAATTTCAATTCAAGTGGTACACCTACATCGGTAACAACCACTACATTTCAATCATCCTCTACAAATATCTTCGGTGGTTCTGGTAGCAGCAATGTTAATCCTCCGACGGATAAAAAAATAGAAACGTCAAACACAGAAAATATTTCTACAATTTTTGGCAAATCCGCTTTGGGTGCGAATACACAAGCCAATTTATCTTTTGGATCGATTGTCGCTCAAGAAGCACCAGTTAGTAAAGAAGAAAAGAAGTACGATGGTGGTTTACCATTTAAAACAGATCCAAACTTTACCTTTACCGTTTTGGCAAAATCTGCAGAAAATGCATTTGTACAGAAACCTTCAGAAGACGAAAACCCATTTACTTATCTTGGAGCAGGAAAGCCAGTTTTTCAATCGGCCACTAATCCAAATAAACCATCGCAACCAAGTAACCAACAACACCATAAAACAGAAGATGGAGATCACGAAGGAGGCGGTGATGGCGATGATGAAGAATATGATCCACATTTCGAACCAATTGTTCCATTACCAGAAACTATTGTTATTTCAACTGGGGAAGAAGACGAAGAAGTGTTGTTTAATGAAAGAGCGAAATTGTATCGATATGATAATAATACAAAAAATTGGAAAGAACGTGGAGTTGGACAAATGAAGATATTGCATCACCCAATCAATTGTAAGTCTTAAAATATTTTTATTAATAATTTTTACAAGGGAAGTGTGACAACTGTCTCACTGATTTCGATGAAATTTAGTAGTTATAGAATGGACCAAAATAAGGTTACGTGGTTTTTTACACGTGTGGTAAACGCCTCTGGGGCAAGTTTTAGGGGTTGAAAGATTTTCAACAAATTTTTGAACACATAATTACGAGTTATTTGAAGCTATACAAAATTGTATCAAAGAGAATTTTTAAAAAATACGATTGAAAAGTAGCAATGAAATTATGAGAACAAATATATATACAGCGTGTCTCATATCTTCCGCATCAGACCATTATACAGTCGTCCAATAGGAGATCGCAAATTAGACTCAGGCAATCGGTCGCCGCGCCGTTCTAAACTCGTTTCTCACGTGTTTATTTCTCTTTCCATGAATCGTTATTAGACGACTTTAAACAGTTTCCGTGCGGTTATTATAAACATTTCGAAAATTTTTATTAGAAAAATCGTTTTAGAATAATGTATCCTTCAACCGTAAATGCTCTGATGCGGAAGATATGGGACACTCAGTATACAGAGGGAGTTATTAGTATCCCGACGGTCGATAGCTACTACTAAATCATTTGAGATAGAAAAATATGTTTTAGACAAATGCTGTTTAACTCACCATTTTCTATAACGTAAAATTATTTTCCTTTATACAGGGTGTTGCATTTAGGCGCGACGGCAAGCATGTAATTTTTTTTTAAATGGAACGCTCTGTATATATGTTGCTATGAATACAACTAAATTTAGTTTTCCAACCGTATATGTTTGCAAACTCACAGTGTTAATACTTCCGGAGATATTCAATTATTTTTCCAAAACATGCCCGTTACAGAATCTTTTTAAAAGCTATGTAAAAACGACATTTTTACCGAGTTTGTCTTTAAAACTGTGTCAGATAATAGTCAAAGCCTGTAGGTGGATGATAGTATCCAAAGATATTAGGTACATTATACAGCGTGTTCATAAAACACTGTAAATTATATGATAAGTATATCACATCTAATTTTAGTAGTTTTCGTAATATTTATAATTTAAAGAAAAATGTGTAATAATTCTACTTAATATTACATTCTGTCTATTTATATCAGTTTTCTTTTGTTCTTTCTGTTTTTGTTTGATTAATATTTTATAATGTAAAATAATTTTGCTGCCAAATACCTAATTAATATGATTACTTAATAAATATTATAAGATTTAAAAAAGTATAAGTAATGGAATATGCAATTATTCTGCCATTTAATTTTATTCTGTATTTTTATCACTTTTTGATTATTTATTTATCAAAAATAATATGTTGCATAAATTACAAAATTCAAATATTCGTTTTATGAAAACTAAATTAATATTTTAATGTTATTGATGTTCATGTTTTAAGTCGGCTTGCCTATTAATTGAATTAATAGCTACTTGTTATGCAATGTTTAGTAAATGTTTATTGTTTGTTTCTGCATTTGCTTCTAATAGCTTACTGAATAAAAAAGGGATTTATTGTTTAATAAATGTTAAGAGCATTACTTAAAGTAAAGTTAAATTAAAGTACTGGTGACAAATGAGAGACAAACGAAAAAGAAAAAAACAAAAAAGCTGACAAAAATAGACAGTATGTAGTATTAAGTACAATAATGGCATATTTCATTACATACACATATTTCCGTAAATCCTAAATATCAGGAAAACCGCTAAAGTTAGACATATGACATACTTAACATTAATTAAAGGGCACTTGATGGAGAATTTAACCAGCACATAATAAAAAAATTTAAAACATATACAGGATGATTCAAAAAATCGCTGACAGACTTCTAGAGAAGATAATACACGAAAAATTAAGATGAATAGTCTTAATATACATGGGGTCGCAAATGCCTCGTTGGCGAGATATAGCGGATCAAAAGTTTCTTTAAAATTAAACATTATCTGCTATAAAAAGCACTTTTTTAAAAATATAGTCTACGCCATTGCTCTCTACGCGTGTAAAGTGATCAATTATCTATCAATTGGTCGCTTAAAAAATTTTGATCAAAGCAATAGTTTTTAAGAAAAACACGTTTGTAGAAAATTTGTTAATTCAATCAAAAACTGTTGCTTTAATCAATGTTTTGTAAGAGACCAATTATTATTATTGTTATTGTACTTAATATCATATTCTGTCTATTTTTATAGGTTTTTTTTGTTCTTCCTTTTATTATTTGATTAATATTTTGTAATGTAAAATAATTTTGCTGCCATATACCAATTTTAATGCGACTTGGTACTTTAGGAGATTTAAAAAGATGTATATAATAAAATATGCAATTGTTTTGCCATATAATTTACGACTTTAGAGAAAATAAGATGCACATGTTAAGAGATACCTCAAGGTCTTTTATACAGCACATTAATGCTTGTAGAAGAGAAAATGGGCGCCATTTTGAACAACTTCTAATTAATGAAATTAATACCTACTTGTTGAGCAACGTTTAGTAATTGTTTATAGTTTGTTGCTGCATTTCCTTCAAATAATTTAGTAATTAAAAAAGGGATTTATTGTTCTGCCATTATTAGTATTTTTATCATGTTTTGATTATTTATTCATTAAAGTTTTTTTTTTTTTTAATTGTATTTTAATATAATACTGATTTACAAATGATAGACAAACGAAAAAAATATGACATTCTGTCACTTTTTTCAGTACAATAATGACATTTTATTACACATTTTTCTTTAAATTCTAAATATCAGAAACACTATTAAAGTTAGACATATGACAAGCTCATCATTAATTAAAGGGAACTTGATGAACAATTCAACTAGCACACAATATACAGGTATTCCATTTATAAAACTTAAGAAAAAGCGATTTGAAAAACATCAAAAGTAACTAAGCTATAAACAACCTGAATAGTGTATCTAATATCTTTGAATATTATCATCTAGCTACTGGCTTTTACTGGTTTTTAAAAAGATCCTATAATGGGCACATTTTGGAAGAACAGTTGAATATCTCAGGAACTATGAACGCTGTGAAATAGTAACATATACGGTAGTATAAACAAATTTAGTTGTATTCATAATATGATAAAATATACAGGATGTTCCTTTTAAACAAATGTACGTACTCTCCGCTACGCTTAAATGGAACACCGGGTATAAATGAAAATAATTCTACGTAATAGAAAGTGATGAGTCGAGCAACTTTTGTATAAAATATTTTTTTGTTTTTCAAACGGTTTAGTAACTATCCAGCGCCAAGATACTAATAACTCACTCCCTGTATATAACATATTTAAAAAACTTATGAAAAAGCCGTTTGAAAAACATGAACACAAAATTTACAATGTTTTATGAACACGTTGTATAATGCTTTAACTGTTATCTGACATAGTTTAAAGGCAAAATCAGCAAAAATGTCATTTTTTAAATACGTTTTGACCAATCTATGTCCGTATAATTTGTAATAGCATCATAAAAACATCAAAGAATCCTTGTCTTGTTGCATAAACCGGTACTGTTTTGCAAAACAACACATTTTCTTTTATTGAAGTATCGGATTCATTCCTTACAAAACATAAGAACTAAGACATGTTTGCTACATCGGTTGATTCATCAAACTGAATACTAAAAACTCATTTGCTGAATTATCTGATTGCGAACATCCGCAGCCATGTTGTGTCATTTTTTTACATGCATGCCTACTCTACTAACACTGACCATATCGATTGCAGCAAGCAATATGAGATTTTCGACAATTGTGTGGAGTTAGGACGTCTTACCTACTTTTAATGCCACGAGATAACATGCTACTTGAAGCCATACTTATCAGTATGGCTTAGCTTACAAATAGAAGTTTGTAGATTTTTCAAGTTATGTCATTTTCTTTCGAAAAATTACAAGGGTTAATTTTTTTGAGGCGGATGTTTAGTTTCCAAGTAGAGCTTAGAATACCGGAAGAAATCCCGGTTACCTGCAATTTCCTTTTTAGTATGTCGCTATCAGATGGAGATGGAGGACTCTAGTGGTGGTACAATGATTACTTCTGCGTCTATTGATGAGCAGGATGGTACTTGTAGATTTTCAAGTAGTAGTGCTTCTTCTTCTATCGTTTGCTTAATTAAACAATGCGCTTCGTTAGGGATACTTTAGTTCTTCTTGATGTCCAGTTTGCAGATACTACCGTATTTGTGATGTATCTGTAATTCTTTGCGAGATTCGAAGTTTTAATGCATTTAGCAATTTCAAAGCAATTAAACTTTCTTGTTCAGACAGCGTATCTACCATGAACTTTAATGAAGCCTTGGCAGTCAAAAGATTGGAATCTCTTCGGCATAACGTTAATATGTGCGAATAATAAATTCATATCATCTTCTGAAAATTTTATATTGCATTTTGTCATCATCATTTATACTTTTGGTCTTATAGAAAACATCTGCTATGGCTAAATTTATACCATCAGCCCAGCATAACTGATGTTCAGCATCTATTAGTTTTTTAATTTTATCATAATCGCTGTACCATCAGTGGTGATGCTAACTTCATTCATTTCTAAATCAAAAGTTGCCAACTTTTGTTCAACTAATGATAAACATTTTTCTGCTGGTACTGAACCAATTGGACGTACTAACCCGATATTCCTAAATAATTCTTCACTAGAATGCACATTAATTAATGTATCGACGGTTACGAACTGAAGATCACTCATTGAATGTTATGCTGTATAGTACCTTTAAACTACATATTTCAGAAGTTATTTTATTTTTAATTTTCTCAGAGTGGAGAAGAACCAACTTGCTCATAAACCTTCTCTGATGTCTTGAGAGGTAATAAGGATATGAAATGGCAAGCCATCTTAAACAGTTATACGGACCAGTACTTCTGAAAGTCATAAGTTGAAGTGTTTTTGAAATAGCTGGTAATCAGTTTTGGGTTCTTGGAAATAATTTGACTATCAGTGTCGCTGGTAGTGGGTTCATATCTTTTTTTTGACATTAAGTGTATTGAATATTTTAATTTCATAACGAACAGGTTTGCTCTTTATGTATTGGCGAAACAAAAACCTTCCACGAAACAGTTTAAATTTTTCATCAATCGTTGCGTATTCTCTAATCTTGACAAAACTTCTCGGAGAGGTGCCAATTTAACAATCTTTCTTCATTCAGTCTAGTCTCTCACAGTATCAAAACGAAGACACCTTAACAGAAACAAAAATCTCTTTGTGGACGCACAGGAGATGAACAGATCTTTTGACCATAAATCATGCTTATTTAGATGTGCTGATTTCATTAGTTCAGCGTAATATAACAATCCAAATAATGCGGAAATTTCAAATTTGTTTTTTGACATTGCGTCATGTTCTGGTGAAAACTTTCGACGCAAGTCCAAGCGTCTATTGGCGTTTCCTCTAGGCCCAGATCTATTGGATACTAAATTATCTCTTACTCCTTATAATTTTAGTAGGAACATTTCTTTTCCATTGGATACTGTCACGTCCATAATAGAAGCTATATTTCTACACCGACCGTGTGTTACTGTACAGTGTGTTAATTAATTATAGTACCCGGCGTCATCATTACAACTATGCAACCAATATCACAGTATTGGTATTGCAATACGCGATTTGCGTATGATGCGTATTGCATTGTATGCAACCAATATCAACCAGTATGCAACCAATATCACAATGCAATACGCATCATACGCAAATCGCGTATTACAATACCATTACTGTGATATTGGTTGCATACTTGTAATGATGACGTCGGGTACGATAATTAATTAACACACTGTATTTTGGTCCAGTCTATGGCTGTACCAAATTTCATCGAAATCAACGAGGAAATTATGACACTTGTTAATTTTTATTTAAAATGATACTTATTTAAACAGGTACTTATCGTTTATTATTGAGACGAGAACAAGTTCATAAAGTAGTCCTTAATCAATTAATAACAACCGACTTGGATCCACAACCAATGTCTACATCAGATGTTGCGTGGTGTTGGTTTGGATACAATTTCACCGACGACGGAAAAAATCTTGAAAATTTAGCGGTAAAATTCAAAACATGCAAATTGTCGCAAACGTTTCGTGAAGTAGTTCAGAAAGCCATAGATTCGGTCAAAGAAAATCAAGTCAACAAGAATATTCCGACGACTGTTACGGGATTTGTTGAAGATAGCGGTGGATATGAAGAAGAACAACACACCGAAAGTAATGACGAAGATGATTATGATGAGGATGAAGAACGGTAAGTTGAAACAATTTTCTTTATTTTATTATTATCTTTATTGAATGATTGTAATATTTAGACGGGATTAAAGTAAACTCGACTGCAGAGTTGGAGTGATGCATGGTCGTTTTTTGACGAATAAGAGGTCAGGTTGTTTAGGTTTTTAGTTTAAGCAGTTAATTCAATGTTAATACTTCTTGTAAGCGTATTTCATAAAATATATTATTATAGCATTTTTGGTTTACATTTTCTTGATATTTGTTCCCGTTTTAAACAATTTTTAATTAATATAAATATTTTTCTACCCCACAGTTACATGAGTTAAGAATGATTATTTAGCGACGTAAGTAGGTGAATCAGAAATTTTGTGAATGTTTGAAGGTAGGTCCAGTTTATGTGGTATGTTTTGGAGAATGTTTGATTAGTGAATTTTTAGGTTTCAATCCCTCGCTGTTTAGTTATTACTATTAAAATGTACTTTTTAACATTTGTTATAGTTCAATAATGTTCCGGAATAAATGCGATTTATCGGAACAAGACTCGTCTGGGAAATGGATACCCCTTGGAAGTGGTGATATAACTGTTTCTTACGACCATGAAATCTTTGGGGCCAGAATTCACTTTACCCAAGATGACGTAGAGCTTAGTAACACCATGATTGGAATGAATACAGTTATGACTGTAAGTTTCCTTAATAATTAATGAAAATGAATTTTAATTTGCTTTATTATTTTAATCAGATTAATGATACAAATTGTTCTTGGAGAGCTGTTGAATGGGCCAATCAAATATTCGAATGGAGAACTTTACAAGCATCGTTTTCAAATGAAAATGACGCAGAAACATTCCACTTGAGTTTTATGGAGGGGTTAGAGTATGCACAACAAAGTGATATCGTCGATAATGTACCGCCGCTCCACATTGAAGGTGATTAAAAGATTTTTGACTCTTTTTTTTGTATTTTTTTAAAAAATGTTGAGAATATTTTTAAATTTGTTTTATATCTATGTTTTCTTTAATGTAACGCTCTAAACAATAATGTTTACACATTATTTGTAAGTAAAATAAACAACTTTCCTGACTTTATTTATAGTTAAATGTCTATTTTTTTTTGTATATAAATAGATACAAAGCAAATGCGTTATCTTGTCAGTATTGTTAATAATAAGAATTACTTGATTAAAAATTTACTTCATTTATCTTTATGTTTATGTATGATTTAAAAATTTTAATTCCCTTAAATAGTATTTGAACTTTCCCATTACATTTTTAATTCAATAATATGTGTTAGTTTCCTCCAACGCCATCATCTACCTTCATACATGTAATGTTAATCATTCCTTCTAAAATTATTGCTGTTCCGTCCTATGCTCCTTGTATATTTTGTATCTGATGTACACTTTCTACATTGTATTCCCATTTATCAGTTCTGGGTAAAATAAGTTAATGTAAACCTTTAAAAAAACAAAGTTGGTAAGAAGGTTAAACATGTTACAAGATCTAAACGAACACTCAAAGAAAATAGGGCTAAAATGATCCTGCATAAAGCCAAAATAATGAGCAACACGCATTATGATGTTGCCATTGACAATATCTCTTTAGAGGATGTAAACCTGTACAAATATCTTTCACACTATTAAAATTGCTAAAGAAAATCAAACAGCCAAAATAAAACGATGGATTCAACCATCAAGGACGGCGTTTGGAAAACTCAGTTTTGTACTGAAAAACAAGGATAGCTGCATACTGCTAGTGATTACATATGGACTTGAAACCATGGACTTGACAAGGAAAACTGCAGAATAACTTAGTGTATCCCAAAGAGCGATGGAACGAGTATTGCTGAGTGTCACTCTTAGAGACAAGATTCAAAATAGCGATATTTGCAGAAAAACACAAGTGACAGATATTATGACTAGAGTAGCAAGGCTTAAGTGGCAATTGGTCGGGCATATGGCAAAAGAAAACGCAGAAAAATTAACAAAAAACATAAACTTTTGGAGACCACGAGAAATTAGAAGAGATCGCAAAAGAGATGAATCGATGATGTCAAGGGTGTGGCGGGATAAGAATGGATAAGAACAGCAAAAGACAGAAATAAATTTTGGGATACATTTGGAAGAGCCTTATGTCCAGCAGTAGATGAATATTGGCTGAGGAAGAAGAAATGTAAATAAATGTTGTAAAGAAAATCATAAAAACAGTGCAATCTTCTAAAGTTGTTTCTGATTTTTACCATGTTGCTTACTTCTTGTATATTTCGTCGGTTGTACACAATCTTTTCTACATTAACTTCCCACTTTATCTTTGGCCATTTTGTATTAGAATAGAATAGTTTATTTGTGCTATAAATACTTTACAATACTTACACATGTCAAAAAAAAAGCGAGAAAAGGCGCAATAAAATGATAAAATACAATAAAAGTTCAAAACGGGGAAAAAAGAAACATATTATCAAACATGTTATATAAACATATTAAAAAAATAAACACATTAACATTTCATGTAAACATATATATTCATGAATTTATGCACTCATTACAGACTCGTCTGTCATGTCACATGATAAAAATTCTTCAATCGAATAGAAAGCGCGCCTTGACAAGAAGCTCTTCAAGTAATTTTTGTATCTAGCAGCCGGGAGCATCTGTACAGTTTTTGGCAATTTATTAAATAACTTTGGGGCAATGTAGTTAAAACTTTTCTGGCTCCTGGACAATCTACAGTGTTGTAGTAGAAGTAAGTCTTTGTTACGAGTGTTGTAACTGTGAGCATCTCCATTTGTTTCACACTTGCTTATACAATGCCTTGCATATACAATGCCTTGCATATACAGCGCATTCCAAAATATAGAGGCATGGAAATGTCAAAATATTTAGTTTAATGAAAGAGCCTTTACATTCTTCACTATATTTCAAATTGTCAAGAATTCTGATAGCTCTGCGCTGTAGTTTGAAAATACTATCGCACATGCTCGCACCGTCCCACGCAAGCAACGCATAAGTCATAGTAGCTTGGTAGAGGGAAAAATACGTAACGCGCAAAACGTCCTGGGATACGTTTCCCCTCAACATGTCGATGTTGAGGGGAATCCCAAAAACCTTACGCTTTCAGGATTCGTTGTATTCGAGAGATCACGCAGCGTAAAGAACACCTGAGCGTGTTGTATATATCTCAAATCTAATTTCAAATATCATTCCACACTTTCACAATAACATCAAATATTTTTGACTATTTCATTCATATCGTTAACGCCAATAAGAATTCGCGGTTTTCCGTCAATTGCGAGTATTTCAGCGGTTATTTGGCCGTAACCATGGAGAACGATAATACGGACCTTTGTATTATCGCTGTAATACGAACCTTTGTATTATCGCTTGTTTGACATTTAATTAATTTCGAGACATCCATGCATGTTTCCATAACAATCAATGTAATTTATT